CCCATCTTATACCCACCTCTGTGAAGGCTATTTTTTTGTCTGTGAAGTCAGTTCACAGATAAAATATGTCTTTGAATTCCTTCACAGACATATTTTGTCTGTGAAAGAATTCACAGACAAAAAAAAATAACTTCACAAACATGGATGGGTACAAAAGTGGGTATAAAAGTGGGTACTAACATCATTTTCCTTAAAAGTTAATAATGTGTCTCTTGAGGCCTGCACAGATAGAATTGCATTGAGAAGCAGCTTTAGCGTTGATAATTATTATTTTTCAAATTTTGGGCAATTTCAAAATGGTCACAACTTTTTGGTTGAAAATAGGGAAATGGCTTGAATGAACTTTTGAGCTCGCGATGTCACTTAAGACATGTGATTTACAACTGGATAGGATAGCTGAGCTTAGTAAGGAGTCATGGCTGCAAACATAAATTCTCATACGCACAATTTAGAAATGTAACCATTATAATATAATACTATCGTATAAGGAGAATTCATAATGTGATATGGGGACTCAACTAGATCTAGCTAGTAACAATAGTTGTTAGAATTTAATTATTTAAATTAAATTAGTCCAAAACAATGTTTACAATAAATTCATTTATCTCTTTGATTTTCAATAGCTAAAATCTCACCTCTTGTTGGGACGAAAAATTAAAGATATCTGAATTGTTCCATATTGCGTTGTTAACACAAACTTTACTATAGAACATTTGGAGAGGAGGGGAAATGGTCTAGTCTCTCGGAACATGGGAATGTTACAATTATTAAGTAATATAAAGGAAGCATATAACCTTGAACTCAAGAATGTTTACGGAACGAGTGGAGTGAATAATGCGCCCATCACCAACGTACTTGATGGTGATCTGATTCCTTTCAAAAAATCTACATATGCGAAATGGTGTAAATAATATACAAGAAGTTGACGTGTTAGTTATTGTTAGCATTGGAAACCCTGTTGTCATCTATGAGAGTTGATAAAATTAGGATGGGGTGATCTTTGCAGAAAAGAAGGGAAAACAAGATTATATCAATGAGGGGTAGAGCATATATGACATTTGTTCTATGGGTGTCAATGTACTATGCTCCATATTTTTTAGTTTGAAAATGTATAAGGGTTGGTTTGCAACTCGTTTTAAAAAAGCACTTCTCAGCTTTTGTCTTTAAAAAAGCACTTATTTTCCCAAAAACTATAACTTTTATTTTTCTCGACTTCCGCGTCAAAAGTGCTTTTACTTTTTCTATTACACAAAAAAACACTTATTTTACCAAACACTACCCACTTTTACTTTTCAAAATCACTTTTTTCTCAAACACTGTCAACTTTTATTTAATCACTTCTCCCCATTTCATTAAAAAAAGTATTTTTTTAAAAGTAGAAGTTGTTGCAAACAGACCCTAAGTATGATGAAAATCATACCTATTTTAATAATAATGTTCAAGAAAATGTTTACCTAAAATATTTTATATGTGTTGAGGTTGGACATGTACATGAAATCAATTATATACAGAAAAGTTGAATTTAATTCAACACGAATTTGGGTGTATAAACATATATAAATTGTACAAACACTTGATTTTGACGTGGAATCCCGAATGAGTGAAAACCATGAGGCTTTGAAAGCTGCTCTCCTTTCATTGATATTTCTCACATTATTACATTGAACAAGAATAAGGCTAGGGTAACCACGAACCAACTAACCATTATTGGAGTTAAATACATAGAGCTAAGTGGAGAAGAAGAATTAAAGGGAGAGATAAGAGATCCTCAAAACATGTAGGGAAGACCTCCTATAAATAGAAGAAAGGGAGAGGGTACAATCCTACCTCACTGGGCCGAATCGGCCGCACAAGCAGACTATTATGTTTGTCTTTCGGAATAATAATAGGACGAAGTCCAATATCCCAACAAGAAATAAACTAATGTAAAAGTAAAAATAATGATGAAAAAACAATGTGATTTATCACAAAAATGTGAATCATTATTTAGAAAGAAATTCAGAAATAATGTTTTTAATATAATAACTAGAAAATATATTATTCAATATACAGCATTTAGAATTAATATTGTCCATTAGTGATGTCATGCATTCACTCACATTCGTTTGCATGCTCGTGTTGTAGATTTAACATTTTGGAAAAAAAAATTAATTACGGCTAAGGAGTACATATTAAAATGTTTTTCCTTAGTTGCTGCTATTGAAATAGACTCAAGATGCAGCCTTTTTATCGTCCATATAAAAGTTATCCTACTAAATTTTCGCCTTTTAAGAAGCAAAAAGAAAGTAATCAAAATTTCAATGTGAATGATAGAAACTAGTCGTGAAAGAAGATGTGAAAATTGATTTCCGCCACTAGATTTAGAAGGTTAGATGTTTGATGTTGACCGATTGTTTGCGCCATTCTAAATCAAACTTGGCTTATAAGATCTTGAGAAACTTTCTAAAGATCAGAGAAACACATAAAAGACAAAGGTCTTAAGTCTTCATTACTACTCGCATATATCCTTTCACTACACACATTATTCAAATCAATGTGATGCATCTTTATATGTTTGACCAAATCATTTGTTTCAATTCCATTTCAGGTTATACAGAAGGACTACGTACGTGAAACTGTGGCTTCATCATTAAGTGCATTGTAACTGAAAAATAAGAAGTTTGTAGTTGAGTCGGAGAGTTTGAAATGTAAGTGAGATATACAATTAGTTAGGAATCACAACAAATATGAGTAGATCGTAATTCTAATATTTGAAGGCAACGATTTTTGGATGTTTGTACATCGGAGTACTCAAGTCAAGTAGGCAACCCGCCATGTTTCAGATATATTGAGTGCTTAGCCAGTTAGCCAGTTGGTCAAAGTTTGTGGTTTATTCACATTCAGTACTCAACCCAAATGTAGCATACAACTAGAAAAACAGTCACGTACATCCTTCAATGTCTCACCACATGTCAAATTAGCAAATTTAACACCAAGTGTACAACAAAGAGCATTCATAGAACCAATCCAACGGGTAGGAGAATGAGCTACAAATTAAAATGTAAAATTGTATAGCTTTTATTAAAAGTTATTATTTATATATTTTGAAAGGAAAGTTATTATTTATTGAGAAAAGGGTCAAATAAGGTCTTCTATTATTATGAAATCATCACATAAGGCCATGTATCAATAAAGTGTCATATAAATGCGTCTACTAGTAAAAAACGATCAAATAAGTCCTAACAACCTATTTACAACCTCCTAATCCCGATTTCAGTGTTCTTGAAACCATCTTTTTATAATAGATTATACGGCACATGTCGAATATTTACCTAAGATTGGTTGAATTACAAGTCACAAAATTGACACGTAGGCTAAAATCAGGATTAAGAGGTTGTCAACAGGTCATCAGAACTCATCCGGTTGTTTTTTATAAGTAGACATATTTATATGACATTTTATTGAATACATGACCTGAGGTGACGTTTCATAATAGTATAAGGCCTTATTTGATCCCTTTCTCTTATTTATTATATCTCTTATTATAACTATTACATTGGGACCAACTTACATATGTAGGGTTACTTCCTTCCCACATTTGTAACTATATATACATGCATGCAGATTAAAAGACTTCCATTATTGCATCTCCTAATGTATGAGCTTCATACCTTTGTGCTTCTACTTTAATTTAACTTTAAATATTTTATCAAATTGAATTTTAACATGGTATTTGTAACACTTGAGATTTAATATAAATAGATTAATAGTACTACTCATACCAACAAGATGCATCTCCTTTTAAGGGAGCTCATCCGCAAAGAACTCCAAAGTTAAGCGTGCTTGCACGGGAGTAGTTTGGGGATGGGTGACCCCCTGGGAAGTTTCTCAGGGCGCGCACGAGTGAGGACAAAGTGCGCGGAAAAGGCTAGTGGCGGTTTGTGAGGACAGTACTATTGGTCCGAAGTAACTACCTCGGGTCCTGCGGGGCCGGGGTGTTACAGTATTAGAGCACAAACGTGACAGTCAATTATCTTATTCTTCTTAGAGATTCCAAATTATATTTTCCCTTCCGCTTCTACTGGAATTTGAGCTTTCATCAAGACCTATATTGCGTTGTTTTTCGTTTCTACTTACAAAAGTCCAAAAGCATTATTTAGCATCTTCAGAAATGACCATCACATTAGAAACCAAAGTTACAAAAAACTGTCCCAAAGCAACACAATGTTCACAACAACTGCAACATTATTTAGCATCTTTCTCCTGTTTCCTCTCACACTTGCTCCATCTCTCACCTGCTCATCATCCCGTGAAAAATAAAATATATAAATTTAGTAAGTTAAATAATCTTTGAAAAAAATGAACTTACCCAAACATTAGGACCTCAAGTAATCAGCTAGTTGGCCATGACGATGAAGCAGTGTGTATGAACCTCTAACGAGTGACGGTTCATTATAGAACCAATGAACCTCTATCATTTTTGTTTCAAGAAAATCTTTGTTAAATATTTTCTCATTTGTTTGTTAAGAACTTTTGGAAGCTTAGAAGGGGGGTTTTCTTTTTCCTCTTTAGCAATCAGGTTGTCCTCTTTCACTACAAGAAATTAGATGTTTTTCCCACACATGAATTAGCCACACATACGATGTGTGGTTAGTTAGCCACACATAATTTGATTTATGTGTGGGTAATACTATAAAACGTTTAAATTACGTTAGTTACATATATCAAATGTAAGTAAATAGTTTTTGTGACACTTAAATTTAGAGGGAAAGTTCCCGCCTTTTTTTTATGCCTACGTGGATACCGCTCTCTGGGGTTGCTTGCGTGGGATTTTTCGAGTCTTAGCATTACCCACACATATTTGTAAATGTGAATTATGTGTAACTAAAACATATATTCTTTAGCTACACTTAAATAATACATTTTGAAGAAGTGTGGATAAATATAAACATGTTTTAATTAAAAAAAACACAAAATAAAAACAAAACACAAATAACTCACACGTCACACACCCAACCTCCCCATTACTCTAACCCTAAGCCCAACTAAGTCCCACGTTACCTACTATGCTTTACTCTCAATTTGGCCTTTAACAAATTTCCGTTCAAAGCATAGCAGCAACAGCGGTGATGAATAACTTCGTCGGCGGCGAATAATTGGTCGGCCACAAGACAGAGTTCGCTTGCTTTGTTGGTGACGCAAGCTTTTGGTTGGTGAGGCATCTACAAGGTAAGGAAACGATTTTCAATTTTTACTGAATTGATCGATCCTGTGCCTGGCTTTTGAGAAAGCTGCTTTTTTCCCTTCGCTTTTTGCGCTTTCCGCTAAACTGGGTAATTTTTTTTAATGTTTTAGTCGCTTATCGCTAGGCTATTAGGGTTATCAGGTTTAAGTTCTACTCTTTTCACCCTCCCGATGGAAGTCGCTTGGAGAAGTCTTCTGCGGAAAAAGAAGCAGGTGGTTGAGCTGCGGAAGTCTTCGCACATCGCTGCTATTCCAATCGAAGAGGTGCTGTCTCAGTCGATGTTCCAGTACAGACTACAGAGGAAGGACTTCTGATCTGCTTCCCTGCTTCGTCCAGAACTCCATGTAGTTACTCGTATAAAATATTCCACTGCCTAGTTTCTTATTTGCGTTTGTTCTTTAAGTTTTTTATTTAAGTTTATAGCAATTTAAAAGTTCAGTTTTGAAGTATTTAATGTTTATTCTGCCACAATATCAGGCTACAGTCTAATTGTTGTCTGTTTTTAATTAAGTTTTGAAACATTTAATTAAGTTATTGAGTTTTTTACTTAAGTTTTTAATTATTTAAAAGTTTTAGTTTTGTTTTTCTGATCTTTCCCTGTTTTAATATTATTACTGTATATATTACTCCGTATTAGCCTAAAGTTAAACTTTAAAGTTATCATATAAAACTATCACTTAGCTTAGTAATTTATTTGTTTAATATTACGTACTTTTCTAGTTTACTACTTTACTTGGCTCAAGACAATTTAATTTAATTAGAAACAAGATTTTGTCTATACTAAATGATATGTTGTAGGCTTGTAGCAACATTTAAGCAATTAATTTTGAGGCTTACTCCTCGGGAGGCTACTACCGAACGCCTCGAGGCCCGATTTTGCCTTTCAAAACCTTGCTTGTAACCATAATGAGCATTTCTAATGTAGCTAATTAAATTCAGTGAAGCAGAGGGTAACATATCATAAAGTTTGATAGAAAGAAGCACAACTATTGAATATGGGTTTCTTGCTTATAATATAGTTTTTCACCAGTCACTAGGATCCCCACCCCCAGTGATTTTGATTCGTTTTTCTAACACACAGAACCATTCTGATCAGTACATACAACATACTTCAGAGTTAGAATCGTCTTCTTGCAAGCTTCAACTGGGTCAGAAGCCACTTTTTTAAGACTTATGACTAACTCTGAAGTATTGCTAATAACAGTGATCTTGTGGAATTTAAGTGGGAGCTATAATTTCCATCGTCTCTACTTCTTCCTGCTCAATTTCCTAAACTGCTCTTATAAGACCTTTTGTAATTGCATTGAGATGTAAACCATTGGCCTTCATCTCATCCAGTAACTCCCCAGCCTTTTACCAATCCAAAGAGTTTAGACAAAGAGATTGAATGAGCTTATTAAACACATCATGATTGGGTTGAACGCCACCCTCTTCATTTCACTGAACAATTTAAGAGCTTTGTCAAACTGCTCAAGCTTGAAGAAACCAAGGACAAGTGTATGATATTTGGCTGTGCTTTCTTTCAATAAGAAGCAGCAGTTCTATTTCATCCAACTTTGTCTACGGTGAGCCTATTTCATCCAAATTGTTCTCCAGACTTTTTCATTCAGATTTTCACAGTACTCTGTTTTTAGTTTGTACCCAACTTCCGCAGCTCTCTGTTTCTTTTTTTTTAATATCTTATTTTCGAAAGTCTTACTCTTACACTATTTCTATAAGCTTCTAAAACAGCCTATACTATATAGATATAAGTTAATGAAAGAAATCATTATATTATCATTTCCTCGGTAGTAATTATAGTTATAAACAGGTGAATTATACGTAGTATATCATAATGAAGGAATAGATATGTAATGCCTTTTGTTGAAGAAAGAAATCATTTCCTTGGTAGTAATTGTACCCATTATTCTATCAAGTATTAATCTAGTAAGTTTTTTACGAAAATATCAATCTGTTTTCTTGATTAATTAAATTTAGTTTATTCCAATTTATTCATTTCAGTTTGAATATTTAATTTTTAGTTTATTTCAGTTTATTCCAATTTATTGATTAAATAATTCTTAGTTTATCACTTGATTTACTTCAGTCCAGTTTGTTCCTTTCAGATTTTCTGATTAACTCATTTTAGTTTATTTCAATTAATTCCACTAAGTCATAAGGTCTTGTGCGTTTTTGCGTAATTGGGTAATGAATGCTTTGAAACTTTACGCCGCACTAGTATTATTTTTAATGACTGCTATGAATACTTTTTGCATTTTTGGCATAATTATACATTATATAATATATTTTTTAATTTTTAAAAGCAACGCTTTTAGTGAGAAAGCTATGCTTCGTTTAGCGCTTTCGCTTTTAAGCAAAGCCCAATGTCATCGCTTTGGGATGCTTTTCGCTTTAAAAAAGTTTGGATCGATGAGTTTATTTGATATATTCATGACAAAATAATGTATGCTGGAGTTTATAATTCAACAGTTGACTATTTATGTATGACAAAATGTCGGATTTATATTTATGTCCATGTTTCGGTTCAACCAAATATTCTAAAGGTATTTTAATGTGCAGGACTTTGATGACCTGGATTATTTTAATTATACTTGTTACTTTCATCATTCAAATGGTGGTTGATAAAACTTTATATTTGACTTGAAAAATTTTAGCAAGTATAACTTATTTTGTAATTTATACTCACATTATTGTTATATTTCTATTGTAGGGCTGAGGAACTATTCTGAGCTCCCTTCAATCCAAATTCTAACAGGTCAGTTTTCAAAACTTATTTTTCATACTTTAATTTTGAAGTGCATATAAATGTTTGACTTGTTAATAAAATCGACTCTTTAAACTACTTTTTCAATTTTTTACTATTATAGTAGTAGATTCATATAATATGAATCATGAGTGGGTGAAGACCTCAAATCGGATTGCTCCAGAATATGTGGCTGGGATTAAGGAGTTCATAAATGTTGCCAAGCAGAACCTAGATGGAAATGGATTGACACCATGTCCTTGTCGTGATTGTCTTAATTCGAGGTTTCATCCTATTGATGTTATCAGATCTCATCTGATATCTAAAGGAATTGATTAGTCATATGTACAATGGGTATATCATGGTGAAGACCAGTCTCATGATGATGAAGGTGTTGGTAATGGAGAATCGGAAGATGATGAATTTGATGGTTTGAGAGCGGGTTTACATGATGCATTCAGTAATCAATATTTCAATATTGGGGATGCTTCTGATTTTTCTGAAAATCAATCACCCATAGCAGAAGAGGCTCATTATGAGAAGTTATATGAAGCTTTAGATAATCCGTTGTTTGAAGGATGTCATAAATCTTCGGCATTGACCTTTATTGTGAAGCTGGTGAATATAAAGGTCATGCACAAGTGGAGTGATAGCTCTTTTGAGATGTTGTTAAAGCTACTTCAGGAGGTTTTCCCTCAAAGTAATAATTGTCCAAAAAGCTACTATGAGACTAGGAAGCTACTGTGTGACGTTGGTTTAGGTTATGAGCTTATTGATGTTTGCCAATTTGATTGTATCTTGTTCTATGGTAACCATAAATATGATATCACATGTCCTATATGTAATTGTAGTAGATACATTCGGAAGAAGATTCCACATAAGAGGGCAAGATACTTCCCCTTGAGTCTACGTCTGAAACGAATTTACGCTTCACGTCACACTGCGAGAGACATGCGTTGGCATAAGGAAGTGCGTAAGGAAGAAATTGGAGTTCTACGTCATCCCGCCGATGGAAAAGCTTGGAAGCACTTTGATGGGTTGTACCCAGAATTTGCTGAAGACTCGAGAAATATAAGAATGGGGTTAGCTTCAGATGGGTTCAATCCATTTAGTAATCCAGTTTGGGAGTTTACACCTCATAAAAGAGACTCCCAATTGATCAAAAAGATTGCTCTGATTAGAGATCAAATTGTCTCTCATTTCGACAACACCCACGATGCCATTAGTTTTCTCAATACTTGCCAAACTAATGGCAAGCTATCCTCGAGTTTGGTGTACAACCTTCTTAGAGTTAAGGGGGGAACTCAAATGTGGATGTCTTTCATTTGGAAGAACTATATCCCCCCTAAGTTCTCCTTCACGGTTTGGTTAGCCTTTCGTAACCGCCTTGCCACTATTGATAACTTGCATAGATTAGATGTTGTTAATGTTTGCCCCCTTTGTAAGGGTGGTCCGGAAACGGTACCACACCTATTTTTTACTTGTGCTTTTTCAGGTAAAGTTTGGCATAGAGTCAGGACGTGGCTGGACATTCCTAGGGAGATGGGGACCATGCTGAACTCGTTGAAATGGATCAAGAGGAAGAGACAAGGCTCGGGGATCAAAGCTAAGGCGGCTAGGATTGCTTTTTGCTACTCCATCTACTGGATCTGGAGAACCCGGAATGCTACATGCTTTGATGGCCTTGTTCCCAAAGAAGAAGTCGTTTTTGCGAGGATTCAATACATTGTTTACAAGATTTTGTACAGTCTTTATCCGCATGAACTTGTAAAGTTGTGACTTGTTGTGCCTAACCATCTCTTTGATTGGTTTTGGCGTTTCTTGTGGCTGTTTTTTGGGCTTGTTTGTGCTTCACCACAGCTTGGTTTTGGTGTGGGGCGTTGCTTGTTTTTGAGCTCTTTTGCTGGTTTGGGTTATCCATGTTTGGATAACCTGCAGTTTTGTTTCCCTTTTTGTTTGTACATTCTGAATCTCTGTTTTCTTGGGTGGTTCTTTTAATATACTTACAGTTCATCCAAAAAAAAAAAAGTAATATGTCAACGACATATAGTATGTGGCCAGTAATTTTGATGCCTTATAACATGCCGTCGTGGCGTATGATGCATAAAAGTAATTATCTATTAACATTATTGATTCCCGGTCCAAAGTCACCTGGTAAGGATTTTGATGTATTTCTAAGGCCACTAGTGGATGAGCTTAAAACTTTGTGGACAGATGGGGTCCAAGCATACGATGAGTATTCTCAATCCTATTTTACTCTTCGAGCAGCAGTTATATGGACAATTAATGACTTCCCCGCTTATGCTTACTTATCTGGATGGAGTACTATGGGGAGATTAGCATGTCCAGTGTGTCTTGAGGATACAAAATGGAAACGAATCCAGGGGGAAACAATGTTATACAGGGCATCGGTGCTTTTTAAGCAGTGCACATTCTTGGAGAAAGAGTAAAGAATTTGACGGAAAGTCAGAGAAAAGGGGACCACCTCGTGAATTTTCTGGCCTTGACATCTTACGACAGCTTGCTGAAGTTCCCATGTGCACTCCTGGTAAAGCTCCTAACAATAAAGACCGAAAACGCAAACGTGGGGCTAATGAGTTGAATTGATCTAAAAAAAGCATCTTGTTTGAACTCCCATATTGGTCACAGTTGCTGATGCGTCATAATCTTGACGTTATGCATATTGAAAAAAAATGTTTGCGATAATATTGTTGGGACCTTGTTAAATGATCCTCTGAAAACAAAAGATACTTTGAATTCACGCCTAGATTTGGAGGATCATAACATTCGCAGAGAATTATGGTTGCGGGAACGTAATGGAAAATATGAAAAACCTCATGCTAAATATACGTTGAGTAAAGATGATTGTAAAGAGTTCTGTGACTTTATTAAAACAGTTCGCCTACCAGATGGTTATGCTTCCAACATCAATCGTTGTGTGACAGATGCAAATACACTTGGAGGAATGAAGACACACGATTGTCATGTACTTCTGTAATACCCCAAAAATTTGATGGAATTTGAAAAGTAATTAAAATTATGTTTCATATCGTTTAGATGGTCTTGGGATAGTTTACTATGGTTGGTTTAGTGTCTCGGACCAAGGGGAGGTGCAAACGGGGAAGAAACGGAGCAAAAACCAAAGTTTTGGGGCGTCTGGGGGTCACGCACGGCGTGCGTGGGGTCACGCACGGCGTGCGTGGCATGAAAATTGAGCGTAATAGCTACTGCCAGGTACGCACGATCGTGCGTAGGGAGGTACGCACGATCGTGCGTCCCTATTTTTTCCTAATACGACCCAACTTCGGAAATTCGCTATAAATACATCCCTAATCCGATTTTCCTCATTCCAAAAACCCCAGAACCGCCTCTTCAAGCTCTATCTCTTCCAAAACTTTAATATTAACATATCCAATACGATTTTTGAGTCCAAGGACGAGATCAAACGATACAATCTTTCGGTAAGCGTTTTTGTTGCCTAATTCGCATCGTTCATCCGTTTTCTTGATTTCTTTCTCCTAAATTGTGATCCTTCGACCCTATAACTTCCTAGGGACGTGTGAGTGACTCCTCAAGATAGGTTTGACATTTAGGATTCGTTGCTAGCCTCAAGGTAAGGACTATTGCAACCAAAACTACTATTTTGCCCCTATATGTGATAATTAGGGTTTGTGCTACGATTTGAGTTTCTTTATGAAATTTTATGAATATTTCAGTTATTATAGTATGGATATGATGATCTATGATTTTATGGGGATTTATGAACGTGTGATTTATGGTGAATTTATCAAATTAGTTGCTTGACAAAAATTGTGATTTCTAGGAAATAGTTAATTTGGTTTGGAAAATTTTGGAGAATGTTTTGGAAAGATGTTATGAACATCTTTACTACCATATTTTGAGAATATATTCTGGGTTTGGAATACCCTAATTGGTGGTGGTGATAGATGCTATTCTTGGAAAGTGTTGTATTGAAACTTTTGCCAAAAATTGTAATTAATGATTTCTGAATACTTTGAGCACCCGGGAGTAATCCGTGGTGTTCGGCTCTACATCCGGTTAAATGTAGAACTGTGGTCTAGGGTAGTGCTACTATTATCTGGTGGATAGTTTCTTTGGCGGTTTTGGATACTTGGATATTATCATTGGCTTCGGTTTTGAGGTAGTTGTAGCACCTAGTCCACTTTTATCTTTTCCTAGGGTAGTCGGTAGAGACTTAGCTAGTCTCGACTACTTGGACTTCTTACTACTCGGAGGGCTTGGAATCCCTTTTAGGGGGTGTGCACATTTAAGGTAGAAGTTCAGTTTCCAATTGGTGGGTGGTGGGGTCCGGGTTTATCGGTCAGTTCATAGGTGATCTCAGTAGCTTATGCAACCGTCTGGGACACCCGGGGTGATGCGTGGTAGTTGGTAACCACGTATTCGCTTGGTCTGGGTTCTCTTTTTGGGAGCTCCCCCATCCTTAAAATAATGTAGAAACAATTAGGGGATATGAGTTTGGTGGATGAAAATCATGTATGAGTTTGAAAAGAAGTATTTAAATGTGGATTTGTGTGAAACCGTCCTTCTTACTTATACTATTTAATTATGAAAACATTTGTTTTACCTCGCCGATTTTTGGACTTTTATGTATGTATCAAGAACTACATTCTCAAACTATATTATTTTACGGGGTTGGGTGGGTCTTACTTAGCTAAAAAGCTAACTTTTATTTTCTTTGCTTTGTTTTCTTTTCTGCACTTAATTTGGTGCAGGTGATGAAGAGCATGCTTGATGATGAGAGCCCCGATAGATCACTTAGATTAGTTACTAGTTATCTTTAATAAACCTGAATTTAAGAACTTGTTATTGTTTTATTTGATTATGTTTTGAACTCCATATTAATGTTTATTGTTGGATTGTGATTTAGCCTGTGCATTCGGTTATGTGAGAACCGAGTGTGGCGGTAACACCCATTGAATATTAAGCTTCCGCTGCAATTTAAACTATTTTGGATTAAAGATTTTGGGTGATCCTATCTATTGTCGCTATTATTAGCCTCTATTTTGGGTATAACTTTGGGGGTGTTACAAAATGGTATCAGAGCCTTTGTTTTACAAAATCTTTTAAAGGTTTTCTAAAACTGTTGAATGCAGTCCAGCGGTACTAAGCCTAGGGCATTTCAAGGAGTATCCAGATGTTTTTCCAGAAGAAATTCCAGGTATGCCACCTGCTAGGGAAGTAGAGTTTTCTATCGACCTTGTACCGGGGACAGCCCCAATTTCGAAGTCCCCATACCGGATGGCACCCAAGGAGATGCAGGAGTTAAAAGAGCAGCTTCGAGAGCTCTTAGAAAAAGGTTACATTCAGCTTAGTACCTCACCTTGGGGTGCTCCAGTGCTATTTGTGAAGAAAAAGGATGGCAGCCTTCGGTTATGCATTGATTATCGGGAGCTGAATATGGTGACTGTGAAGAACAAATACCCGCTGCCTCGCATTGATGATTTATTTGATCAATTAAGAGGGACAGGGACCTTTTCTAAGATTGACTTGAGATCTGGTTATCACCAGGTGAGAGTAGCGCAAGGAGACATTCCAAAGACAGCATTTAGAACCAGGTATGGACATTATGAGTTTACAGTGATGCCGTTTGGATTAACTAATGCTCCAGCAGTATTCATGGACCTCATGAATCGGATTTTCCATCCATACCTGGATGAGTTTGTGGTCGTGTTCATAGATGACATCTTAATCTACTCAAAGACACCCCAGGAGCACGATGAGCATTTGAGGACAACATTGCAGACTCTTAGGAACCATCAGTTGTATGCCAAACTTTCCAAGTGCGAGTTTTGGAAGGAAAGCGTAGCCTTTCTGGGGCACATCATTTCCAAGAAAGGCGTGTCGGTTGATCCATCAAAGATTGAAGCGGTGACAAAATGGCCAGCACCTACCTCAGTGACAGAGGTTAGAAGTTTCTTGGGTTTAGCAGGGTACTACCGGCGTTTTGTGCAAGATTTTTCCAAGATTGCAAAACCCATGACAAATCTACTTAAGAAGACCACTAAATTCCAGTGGGAAGATGATTGTGAGGAGGCGTTTCAAGAGCTAAAGAAGAGATTAACAACAGCCCCGGTTTTGACACTTCCGTCGGGGACAGTAGGGTTTGAGATCTATAGTGATGCATCCATCAAGGGGTTGGGCTGCGTGCTCATGCAAAATGGGAAGGTGGTAGCCTATGCATCGAGACAATTGAAGACTCATGAGGTGAACTATGCCACTCATGACCTGGAGTTAGCGGCAGTGGTGTTTGCATTAAAAATCTGGAGGCATTACCTATATGGAGTGCAATGTAAAATTTACACGGATCATAAAAGTTTAAAGTACATCTACACCCAAAAGGACCTGAACAATAGACAGAGGAGATGGCTTGAATTAATCAAGGACTACGACCTGGAGATTCATTACCATGAAGGGAAGGCCAATGTTGTGGCCGACGCATTGAGCAGGAAATCGGGACATCCATGTAGCATGACATGGATACTTCCGGAGGAGCTGTATCAGGAATTCCAAAAGCTAAATTTGGAGGTTACTGAGCAAGGGGAAGTGGATAGGGAAGTAAGGTTGTACTCTATGACCATTACTCCATCCATACTTGATGAAATCAAGACCGCACAGCCCGGTGATGTGAAATTGGACAGAATTAGAGCCGGCATGGTTGGGGGCAAGAACGGCCCGTTTGAGTTGCATGAAGATGGAAGCATTCGCTACAAAGGCAGGTGGTGTATCCCCATGAAGTGTGAAGAGATTAAGAGACAAATATTAGAGGAGGGACATATCACTCCTTACTCGGTTCACCCTGGAGGAGGTAAACTGTACAAAGACATTAAGAAGCATTTTTGGTGGCCTAAGATGAAACGTGAAGTTGCTGAATTTGTAGCCAAGTGTTTGAATTGTCAAAAGGTTAAGGCGGAGAGATGCAAACCTAAGGGTTTAGTGCAGCCCTTGGACATTCCAAAGTGGAAGTGGGATTCTATCTCT